CTTTGAAGCTTCTCTTGTTCACCCAGTTTTCCCAACTACTTGTCCCTTAGTGTGATTCTTGTCTCTTCCCTCTTTTCAAACCAAAGTCTATAGCCTCTCACAGTCTTGACGTTAAATTCTTTGTTGACAATCCATATTTTCTCTCTTGTAGATCTATTTCGTAAGCTGTGTATCTTTTATTCTTAGCTTTCTAACCTGTTTATCCCTTTCCAATGTGATCAATTTATTTCCCTTACAAAGTGCCAAACCAAAACCAAACCAATCATGAATACAAGAAGACTCCATGAATTTTGAGATTAAGTTTAGAAAGAACATTTTACTGCTGCTTTTGGGAGACGAGGATCATTCTTTAAAAAGTCTCTTGTAACATTGGAAACAAATCTCTTATTCATAGGAAAATTATTTTAATTCAAGTTTTCTGAGATGTGGTGGCCCCTCTGTAGATAGTTACCATGTAACAACACATGCATGCTTTCTCTTGCTTCCCAGTGCAAAATATATGTGGTTTTGTGTTACAGTAAATATAGGCTGACATAAAAATAGCTTACCCTTAATAAGTAAATGCAAAGCACCCTTTGGATTTTAAATGGTAGAAGAAGAAAAGTTGTACTAGCTTTCAGTAAATGTGATATGTAAGATTCCAGTCAAATCTCTTCAGTCCCTTCTTCCCTGTGTTCTCTCCAGCAGTATCTACTACTGCCAGTCTAGTCACGTAAGTTTATCAATCTCTGTCATTGTCAGAGAATGTATAGTCTTTCTGTCCATTTAAAAATATTCCTTTTTGGTCAGGACAATTCAATTCATCCTCTTCTCCCCATCCCACCTCCTCCCACTTATCTGATGGTCTCTGCATTTATCACCCTGGCTTTCAGTTTATTTCAAATCTGATTTTATTGCTTTGAGGACATAGCTTTCTTGCTTGTAAGGAAGCAGATCTTCCCTCTTTCACACATTCATTATGCAGATTGGAATAGAGCCAGGTTTATCTGTTCTACCTGTTTATCTTGTTAACTCTTATTGCTAGAGAAAGAAGTTATCAGGGCGAATAGCTCCTCTTCTTTCTCATTTAGACGCAGCATATGCCAGTAGGAATACTTCAAAGCATTGTTCCTTATGCAGACTTCTGCAAAATAGATGATGTCTAACTACTAGAAGACTCTGTTTTCATGGCATGAATGAGAGAGTTGCGAAAGGGTCAGTATTAGTGAATCTAAGTTCTACTCTTTATCAAGGAGTTGGAAGATCAAACTGAGATTGAGGCTATAATTTGGTCTTTATTTTTTTTTTCCCCTTCTGTGTTAGCAAGCATATAAGAAACAATTTAATTCTCATTACATTTTAAAGACTAAGCTGCATTAGCTTAGAAGCAGTTCAATTATTCCTTCTGCTGGAGTCAAAGGACAAGGTTGGATGTATGGGGGTGGTTTCCACATCAACCATCTGTTTTTGCTGATACGTGAGTCAAAGCCCACAATTGTCTCGTTCCTCCCCCTCTCATGTAGTTTAAATGCTAGTGCATCTTTGGATGCCACAGTTTTACTCCTTTGCATCTGTGCTAGAAAATAAGTTTTGTTCCCTGTACCCCCTATCCAGTCTGGCATCAGGTGATGCATGTAGCTCACAGAGGGGAGTAAGTAGATTCTTTATATTACCTTATTTCCTTTAACAGCCGTGCTATGCTATCTTTCATCTCTTTATGCTTTCTCTAGTGCATGTCTTGTAAGCTTTTTTTCCTTTTGGCACAGAGTCCAGTTTTTGTCCTAAATCTTTTCTGTATAATAATGATCTTATTTGCAGGCAAAGTACTTTAACTTTTCTAGACCTTTTCAGTAGCCAGCGTGGTAGCAAGCATTTGTAACATCTGAATGATGTTGCTTTTCCACGAGCAAGGAACAACAGAATTCAGAAGAAAAACTTCTCTAGGGTGACAGCCTTGGCAGCTAACTGGAATGTTGGAGCTCAGAGCTGCTTTGTCAATTGATGGGGGGGGGGAAGCTGTGAAACAAACTGACTTAACTCCTCTGGGAAGAGGACACCAATAAGAAAAAATAGAGCAATTAAGCAGTACTGGAAACACTAGAATGAGTTGCATTTGGTGCAAAAACTGCAAAGAATGAGTTTTTCCCAAGTGTGGGTACACAGTGATGTTACAGTTGGGCCAAAAGAAGTTGTCTGTCCAATCTCATTCAGTTTCTGTGTTTCTGAACTATGTTAATTTTTAGATACATCTGTACAGTTCAAAGAGAAGATATTTCATGTCCTAAATCAAGCAATAAAAAAGTTGTAAAAATGTAATTTATGTGGTTCCTTTTATTGTACAGAATAAGATTATAAGAGAGAAGTTTTGAATAACAAAATGAAAAATGTTCTCCCTATTCATACCTGGTATTACTTCACTCATTAATGTGGTAGGCTGTGAACTTAAAAACTTGTTAAAGGTGGATATTTGTGACTTTTCGTATTGGCAAATCCCTTTTCTTGTCCTTCCTTGCAGTTGATTAAATGTGCAAAGTATTCTATATTTCCTGAAACATGTTATCCAGTGTTTGTGGATAAACTGTGGATAAGTCTTTTGCTATTTTGAACAATTTACATAAAATTGGAGTTTAAACTGATAGAAGTACAGTTACATTTGTGAATGTAACTTCAAAGTGTCATTTACTCTGAATTTACATGTGTTTGAAAACATTGTTGTCTTCTTTGGTGCAGAAAGGTTTTGATTTTTTTTTTTATTGTAAGATTTTGATATTACCATTCGATTGTAGAATAAACCACATTTCTCTTACTTTCATACTGTAAACAAGTGAATTGTAACTGCTGTTTCAAGTTTAACCTTAGAAAGGTTTGCTCTTTTGCTAGAGGGAAATATATTTTTTTTGTCTACTAATTAAGCAGGTATTGAATGGGCATCTAAGTGATTTATTTGCAGGAAAGATTTCCTTTTAAAGTTCTCTGGCACCATAAAATCTTGACTATTACAAAGTGTTGCTAGACATGAATATAAAATCCCCAAATATCCCACTTGCTTTCAGAGCAAAATATAAAGCACCTCAACTTAAAACACCCCAGGGAAAAATACACTGCTGTTTTGAAGCTATTCCAGATCAGTCCCTGACAGTGACACTGTTGTCTCAGTTTCTCACTGGCCTACAGCCTGTCTGCCCAGAACGGAGCAGCATGTTAAATTTGCTGTTCGGCGTGGCTTTGTGGGTTGGACGAGTATTGCTTCGTGAGACACACTTAACAACCAGTGCTTACAATCACAGAGCAAATTAGTGTAGGAATAGAGATTTGGTTTTATTCTTTTCCTGGTTTAGTTTGACAGTAGCTGTTATGCTACTGTCAATAATACCAGTATTCCATGGGAAAGAAAGGAGGGTAGACTTGAATTTTGTAGTTGTTTTTAAGAACATCTGTCAAACCATATACATAGGAGAACCAGTTTTAACTGGATTTCAGATTTCTTTGGGGGAAAAACTGCAGAGAGCAGAAACAGATTATTTTAATTGTGACTATGTCTCAGAACATCTCACATTTTGAGGAACTCTCTGAAAGTGGTAAAACCAGTGAGATTACATACACCCACAGTAGTTTAAATATACGATAAGGTACACAAGGCAGCTAACTAGTGATATTTGGTCCATAAAAAGAGAAACTTGGCTTTCTTTCAGAGGTGAATTTTTTTCTTAACCTAACACTTGGGCTATTTATGGTATCTACATTTCATACTAACAGTGAAGATTTGATAGAATGAAGCATTCTCAGCTCAAGCATGTTTTGCAGTTGAGATGACATGAATCATAGAATGGTTTAGGTTGGAAAGGACCTTGAAGGTCGAGTTTCAACCCCCCTGCCTGTTCCAGTGCCTTACAACCCTCAAAGTGAAAAATTTCTTCCTAATGTTTAATCTAAACCTGCCCTCTTCCAGTTTAAAGCCATTCCCCCCCATATCCTATCGCTACATGCCCTAGTAAAAAGTCCTTCCCCAGCTCTCCTGTAGGCCCCCTTTTAGGTACTGGAAGGCCACAATAAGATCTCCCTGGAGCCTTCTCTTCTCCAGGCTGAACAGCCCCAACTCTCTCAGCCTCTCCTCATAGGAGAGGTGCTCCAGCCCTCGGATCATCCTCATGGCTCTCCTCTGGACACACTCCAGCAGATCCATGTCCTTCTTATGTTGGGGACTCCAGAGCAGGATGCAGTACTCCAGGTGGGGTCTCATGAGAGTGGAGTAGAGGGGCAGAATCACCTCCCTTGTCCTGCTGGCCACACTTCAGATGCAGCCCAGGGTATGGTTGGCCTTCTGGGCTGCTATTGCACATTGCTGGCTCATGCGGAGCTTCTCATCAATCGGCACACCCAGGTCCTTCTCCTCAGGGCTGCTCTCCATCCATTCCCTGCTGAGCCTGTATTTGTGCTTGGGATTGCCCCAACCCAGATGTAGGACTCTGCACTTTGCCTTGCTGAACTTAATGAGGTTGGCTTGGGCCCACCTCTCCAGCCTGTCCAGGTCCCTCTGGATGGCATCCCTCCCCTCCAGTGTGTCTGCCTCGCCAAACAACTTGGTGTCATCAGCAAACTTGCTGAGGGTGCACTTGACCCCCCTGTCCATGTCGCTGATGAAGATGTTGAACAGTACAGGCCCCAGTACCAGCCCTTGAGGAACGCCACTTGTCGCTGCTCTCCACTTGGACATCAAGCTGTTGACCGCGACTCTTTGAGTGTGACCGTCCTGCCAGTTCTTTATCCACCAAGTGTCCATTTGTCAAATCCATGTCTCTTCAATTTAGAGACCAGGATATAGTGTGGGACGGTGGCAAATGCTTTGCACAAGTCCAGGTAGATGACATCCATTGATCTTCCCTTGTCCACTGCTGCTGTAACCCCTTCGTAGAAGGCCACCAAATTTGTCAGGCGTGAAGAACCCTTCTTTACTGGAGTTAACACAGAAAATTTTCACAACCTAAAGCAAAGTCCTTTTTGTAACTATGTTTTTCATCCAGAAAGCCTGAGCAGCTGGGTGGGGGCGTGAAGAATGAGAGAAGCTTGGAACAGAATGTCTTGAATGTGTAAATGGTCATATTTGTGAGTGAGAAACAGCAATCTCTTTCTGAGAAAGGTAGAATACAGTATCTATACCAAGCCTGTTACAACACTTAAAATGAGAAAAATCATGCAAAGGTAAAATGTAAAAAAGGGAAAATCCTTAGTAAAACACTACCTCATTTCAAATACGAATAAAATTTGGAAGACAGGTGGGCAGAGGATGGTGGGCATTCCCAGGACTCATAGCCCTCTGTTTTGCTGTTGACTCTTCAACACTGGGAATTTTCTTACTATATGAGAAACTTGCTTGTTGCTTTTACCATTGCTAGGGGATGTTTATGATGTACCATGACAAATAACAATTCCTGCAAAAATGTGCATGGAGATTTGTGTGCATGTTAAATTAAATTTGTAAAACTAAAGACTCAAATGAGGTTTTGATAAAGTAACGTATCAGTGTTTTGACTTGCTTAACATAGTCTTTTTTTTTTTTTTTTAATTATTATTATTTTGCCATCCCCTGGGCTAATATGCATGTAATCCATTTGACAGCTCTGAACACTGTTAATGAAGTTAACGTTAATTTTTTGGGGGTTTTTTTGGTATTGCAAACTTAATCCTTTTCATTGCATGCTTACCTGATGTCTTCTGGAGACCTGTTTATAAGAGAAACTGTGCAATAAAGTTGTAAAGATGACTGTAAAGCTGCTGCTGGTAGAAAAATCTTGCATAGACTGTAAAGGTTGCCGTGATAGCTTTATAGTAGGGGAAACAATCGTAAACTTTCTAATCACAGTTTATCAGTGTATATGTTTGAGAGTGGTAAGACAAGGAAGCTTTTTTCAGTCTTTTTTTAGCCAAAGTGAAAGCAGATTTGGGGAGGCAGTATTAAAACATTCTATGTAACTATTAAAACAATACAAATGGACCATAGATCTTGAATATATGTATTACCAATGAACACTGATGCAAATGGCTCATAAACAGGGAAAGCACCAGAAATACCTGTATCTTAATTTGCCATGTGGAGGAAATGTGGAAGCAGGCATCCCAGAATAAAAACTGCTTCTTGTCTGTAAATTTTGTAGAAAAATATTGTAGTTGTTCCAGCTTTACAAGTATTAGAATGAAGTATGAATATTAAGCAGATAATATAGAGAAGTTCAAATAAATGTGACTGAAATAAAAAAATCTTTAAAAAGTACAAAAACATATATATTTTAAGAAATGACATCATTATATAGGGCATTTGTTCTAACTAGTCAGTAGCTTGCATATTCCTTAAACAGGTTGCTGGAATACAAGCCGACCATATACCTCTAATTCAGCCTATTTTAACTGAATTCAGATTCATCCATTTCCATCTCTTCTTGTCATTCTTGTATCTCCATAAACAAATAGCATTCTTAGCTCTTACTTTGTAACATCCCTATTGAATATGCTGGGTTATCCTTCAGATTTGTTGTTATTTTCCTAATTTTGTTATCTATCCCCTTCTTTTTGAAAGAACAGCTACTAGAGCATAGCTGGCTTGTGTACTTGGTCTTGTGGCAAAAATGTGGCTGCATACTAAAATTTAGTAAATATTTTTTTTGTCTTTCAATCTTCAGATTTCCTGTTTAAGTTCTTGGTCATAGGAAATGCTGGAACTGGAAAGTCCTGTTTACTACACCAATTTATTGAAAAGAAATGTAAGTATATGTAAACACAGTAAGAGTTCTCCATTGCTTTGTACCACAGATGAAGGCTCTGCCTACAGGAATATCTATTCTTTGTATGGAAGTTCCCATAATTCTCTTATTTGTATAGATGAGGATTTTGATTGAGAAGTATGTTCAGAACCATGCTGTAAATCTTTATTCATCGTTGCTTGCTTCTAATCAAAAGCCTGATATTAAACAGTATTTTCTATTACTCTCAAATAAATGTAGCAGGATGGTGTTGAAAATACAGACTTACTTTTTGTGAGAATTAGATCTTGCAGCTATAAGCTTCCCTAGATACATAGTAGAGGCTTGGATTTTTTAGCAAAAATACTGAACAAATGAAAGAAAAGTTGAATTGCTTGAGTAGATTTAGAAAGCTTGTAGTCTCTTTCTAAATAAATAGACACTCTGTGTTCTTTGTTAAGAACGTTGTTCTATGATAAATACTGGTAGAAACTCGATTGTAAATGTTATTTCGAGATGAATACATGATACAAAAGAAAATTTCCTGTTGGGTAGTGCATTTAGCATTATGATTAAACAGAAATAATGTGCATTTAGAAACCTTTGTAAATCTAAGGTGACTGTTATCTTTCTCAACTGAATGGTAATTCACCTTATCTCTTGAGGAATAGCTGTAGGATAATAATGGGTAGTCACTAAGGAACATGGCATGATTCTATGATTGAACTTATACCATGACCTTGCTTCTAGTAAGGGCAATTGTACATTGCCAAGAATCATTGATATCAACAGTGTACATAGAGCAAATATCTTAACTTTGGGCTTTAAAGAAGTAGCTCTTGTTTATTCATAGGTAACACTGTGTGGTTTTGTGTTCTGCTTTTCCATGCATTTTAATTTTAAATTGCATCAAAATATTAGAAATCACACTTGGAAAAAGTATGCAAAAGTTATTTTGCCTTCTATTAATGTGAACTGGGAATGATTTGATTAAGGCAGGCCTTCCTAATAGTAATTTTGAATTGAAAAAGCTGTTCAAAAATTGTAAGTGTTTATTTCTGCATGGTGGCAATATGCTTATGAGTAGCACTGAATTTGGTGGTTCAGGAAGTAGTTTGTAATTTGAACACTGAGGATTTTTGATTATACCTAAATGGGATTATGTAAAAACTAATTATTCACTCTAAATATTCTCCAAATAAGTCTGGTTTTATTTCTTTTTTTGTAGTCAAAGATGACTCAAATCATACTATAGGAGTGGAATTTGGTTCAAAGATCATAAATGTTGGTGGTAAATATGTAAAATTGCAGATATGGGATACAGCAGGACAAGAGAGGTTCAGGTACCTTTTTCAATCATTTTATTAAGTGTTCGTTATTAAGTTGTTGCTGTGGGTTTTGAGTATTATTTATCCCTGCTTATGACTAGGCATAGTTTTGTGGTCAGTGGAATTGTTTGTCTGCTTTCATATTATTAACCAGGCCAGATCTTCCAACTTGGACAGAGAGACATAGATCCATTGATTTCAGTAAAGCAATGCTGCCTTGGAGGATCTGAGGTTCTGCCCTTTCATTGGATATTTTCTGTAATAGTTAAGGTATATGAGTAGAATATGTGGCTAAAAGCTTGTTCGCCAGCCAAACTCAGAATATTTTTCTAACTAAGTGCGTGTGCTTTAACTCTGTTTAGAAGACCTTCTGCTGGTTGGAATAAGTAAAGGCCAGGAAGTTGTAAGCGGTTCAAAATCTGCATGAGAACAATATCATAGTGTAATATTATTTTATTAGAGGGAAAAAAATCAGTTGTCAGGGTCACTTGGCTAAATACACTTCTAGAAAGACTGAGATTCCTTAAGTTTCTTAAAGAAAAAGTAATGTATTTGTCAGGTTAGTACCCCAAATGTACTTTTAATGCTGTATTTTCACTGTGTCATGCATCTGAAGCATAGATCAAAATCAGTAAAGATCTAATGTGTTGCTGAGTACATTCACCATCAAATAGGACGTCAGGTTTTTATATTTTGGGGGGTGGAGGGGAGGTTTCTTTGGCTTTGGGGGGGCAGCGGTTAACAAAGGTGAGTATGGTGGTAGAAGTCTGAGTGATAGGCAGCAATCCAGGTAAATGTCCTCTATTAGACAAGTTCTTTGGATACATCTGTGACTAGGTAAAGCTGGGCAGTGCCATGTAGTCTCTGTTAATGAGATCTCTTCAGTGCGTTGGCCAAATATCCTGGAATTCTGAGGAGCTTGGATGCTCTGTACTTTCAGAGGCTTGTGCAAATTCTGCTCTTTCAAGTTCAAAGTGTTCACAGACTAGCAGTCCTTTTTTTCCTGTTGCTTTTTGTAATTTATCCAAATCTATTCTTTTTAAGGCTGATCACACCTCTGTGTACTTAACAGTTTGGTTTTTTTTTTTTTCTTCTTTCTCAACCTTTTGAAGGATGCTTTACTTTGCTTTCCTTGCCTCCTCCTCTTCAATAAGGAGTCTTAAATTGTTCAATTGTAGCTACTTTGCTCATTCTCTCCTCACCGCTGCGAGTTCAAACATAGGTTAATTATGCTGTTTTCAAGCCACGGATGCCACCATCAGCTCCCAGTTCTGTATCAGGCCATATAGTATGATGATATGTATATCTTCAGCAGCACACAGGTCTTAATGGACTTTGAGAATGCTTTTACAGCTGTATTTAGTGAAAGTGCTTTGTCAAAAATATAGTTGTAAATAGTCTGCTGCTGCACAGCTGATAATGTTGTCTAAACCCCCCATTTTACTTTAAATATGTAAATGACAATTGTTTCATAATATAGACTGCATTATATTAACCCAGATTTAAAACAATGAAGATATTACAGTAATGTGCCTCTGTGATTCTATTTCAGGTCTGTAACAAGGAGTTACTATAGAGGAGCTGCAGGTGCTTTGCTTGTCTATGATATAACCAGGTAAGAAAGCTAGCAACTCTTTTGCATATAGACTGCCAGATAGAATTAATGCATAATGTTTCCTCCCCGAGTACCTAGTCCTCTAACAGAGAATGGGTAGGAAGAAAAGAAAAAGAGTATAAAAGGTACTTCTATTCTAGTGCGTATTTATGTTTTGGAACTTGCTTACATGAGATATTGTGAATGGCAAATGTAAACAGCCTCAAAGTGTTAGAAAATGCATGGGAATTGGCCCACCAGTAGCTGTTCTAATCATGGCGGACTATATGCAACCACTGGCTTCGGAAGCCTTGCAATAGAAACTAATAGTACTTTAGTTAGCCACTTTTAACCGAGGTGGTAGACCCCTATTGGTGGAAACTGCTTATTAGTATGCTAGTATAACAGGTGATCCTCTGAAGAAGCTACCTGTACCTAGACATTCCTTAACTGTAGCCCAAAAATTCTGTTCATCTCTGCATCTTTCAGTATTTTAGTATTATAGGCAGCCAGTAGAATACCTTAGTGTTTCACATTTCCACGTTTTTTCCCAGTTCATAGCTGGCATATTGAGATGTGTAGGTGACTTCCCTGACTAGCAGCAGTTTGTTGTTTGCCAGACATACAGATTTTCCTTCTGAGTTTTACTTCAGTGATCTGTTCAGGAGAAATGAGTGTGTTCTACTAAAGGATGTCATTTTCTACATAGCCGGGAAACCTACAATGCACTTACTAATTGGTTGACGGATGCAAGAATGTTAGCAAGTCAAAATATTGTGATAATACTGTGTGGAAACAAAAAGGATCTTGATGCAGATCGTGAAGTTACTTTTTTAGAAGCATCCCGGTTTGCACAAGAAAATGGTAAGTAGTAGAAAATCCTCATGTAGCATTCAAAGATGCTTAATACTTAAAATAATTTCTTTCTTGTGCAGTTAGGGAGTCCTTTGACCACTGTACCTTGTCAAATATCTACAGAAAAGAGAATTCTGTCAATACATGAGGCATAGAGAGAGTACAGTGCCTGCAGCAAGAACTACATGTACTATTTAAGTCTCATTATCAGCAATTCTTCCAGTCACAACTGCTACTTAAAGAATACCTTCTGTGTAGAGATATAGTCCCTAGGGAATGTAGTACAACTTCAGGTATTGCCTTGCCTCCAAAGGGCTGTGGAAATAACGAAGAGTGTGATTTCCTAGTTTTCAGCATCTTATAGATTCTATAATCATAGACAAGGTTGGAGGGGGTGTGCTGCACTTGATAGCCATGAGTTTTGCTCACGGGAAACTGAGTTCAGGGCATGGTGTGGATCCAGAGGACTATTACCTGGTCTGTATTATTCAGACTTTCCAGCCTGAGGACACATTTCTGCGGCAGCTAAAGCCAGTTACAGTCTCAGCTTCTGTGCTGCAGTCCTGCCATCAGTAAAAACTGGGTTTGCTTTTATAAATCAATTACAAATATTTTATTATTTTTTTTTTACCAACTGTGGCTGCTGGCTGTCCTTTCGCATGTAACTTTCTGTTAATGGGAAACTATATGAAGTTCTTTGGTTTCATGTGCTATTTTGCATGCACAGCCCAGGTTATTATCTTTGGATTCCAACTTTCTAGGGTTGATGTGTAAATTTCAGAGGAAACTTTTTGTGGTTTTCCAATCAAAAGCTAATTTTTCCAGACCATATTATTTGACAATAGTTCTCCTTAAAAAAAATTGTTATTGTTCCTAGCTTTCCTGCTTTGAATTACTGTATCAGATATTCCAGACTTGTTTTGAGATTATTTTTCTGGTGTCAAATGCAGAGCTGATGTTCTTGGAAACAAGTGCACTAACAGGGGAAAATGTTGAAGAGGCCTTTGTACAGTGTGCAAGGAAAATACTCAATAAAATTGAATCAGGTAAATGGAGATTTATGTTCTTTTAATGTGTTGGGTTTTTTTTCCTGAAAACTCAAAGTACACGTGGAAATACCCTCATTCAAAGTTCTCTAATAGAATTAACCCAAAGAACCAAAATTTCGTTGTGGTAAAATAACCCATTTGGTTTATAGCTACTTCCCATATGTTTTAATAGGAATGGACATCTAAGTCAGATCTGTATATGTGGTATGAATTATGGATGTTTTTACAAAGTGTTTACCTCAACAGTTAGCTCCAAGCATAGGCTGTGCATTCTGTGGGTTGCTATGCCCCTACAAACATCAAGCTTGACATTAGACAGTTCTAGCAATGCAGAGTAAAAACCTGGTATCAGTGAAGACATAACTTTTAATACTGCTTCTCATATGTAGCAGGAAGTACAGTCAAGAGAATTTAAACAATAATACAGCAAATTTCAGGGGTGTTTCCTAGCAACTGTGTTTCTCTGAATCGACCTTCCTGCCTCTTGGTTGAAACTATTTTTACTTTTGCAGATCTAGAAATATACCAGAAGCTCCTCAGTGCAAGTGGGCAGGTTTCTATTGGAGACAGGCTCCTAAGTGTTAGGTGTCATTACAGCTAATTTGCATTCCAGTTTTCCTCTTTTATCTTCTAGTTCCTTGATATTTTCACAGTTTTAAGTATTGGCCATATTGAAAAGTCTGTCTCAGACTAATGACACATTTTGAATGCCAAACACAAATTTTTAGATGAAAAGAATATGGTATTCTTACCATAGAAATTTCCTGATTACTGCATCAATTCAATGCCAAACAGCAGCTTTCATTTTAAACAAACAAAGAAAAATAAACCAAAAAGCAAGGTATAGTTAGTTTCTCATGATACCGTAGTTCCGTGACTGATTTAAAGAGGTATTACCACAGCAGAAGTATGTCCTGTTTTCTGTGAGCTGCCACTGTTTTCTTTGTGCCAGCACACATGCATTGAATCGTGGAAAAATTAAGACTGGAAAGAACCTGTGGAAGTCTGTAGCCCAGCCTCCTGTTTAAAGCATATTCAGGTTCAAAGTGAGAGCAAGTTGCCCCGGTCTTGTCACATTTTGAGATGCTCCAGCAACTGAGATTCCACAACCTCTCTGGGCAGTGTGTCCCAGTGCTGACCAATTGCTGCTATTTACCTAGTCAGTCCTCAGCCTGTACCGGTACTTGGGGCTGTTGCATCACAAGTACAGAGCTCTGCATGCGTAGTTGCTCAATTTCAGGAGGTTCCTGTTGGCCTGTTCCTTTAGTTCAGCCAAGGTCTCTTCTGAATGACAGCTCTACCCTCGAGCTGTCAACTGGTCCCCTCAATGTAGTGTCATCTGCTAACGTACAAAGAGCTCACATGTGTGCAATGAACCTGAATAAGTGATATGAATTATTCAGAGGGATCTTTGTTTTGGTTTGGGGGTTGGGGTTTTTTTTAGTCTAAATGCTTCTTATCTTGGCCAGTCCACCATACAGCCTTAAGAACGTTTCTGAAGGCACAGGGTATGGAGTAGACAGAAATGGATACCAGAAGTAGGGAAGGTTGAGATAATTTCCTCTGGGGGCAGTGCTCTATGGAATCGTACTGTCAGATTGATCAATTTTTGTTTGGCTTGGTATCTACAGTACTACTTTCTTTGCGTATTAGTCTCTGAAAGGAGGTGTTTTTTAAGTGCTTGCAGAAAACGTTTTGGATGTTTCCTTTGTTAGAAGTAGTTAGTGCAAAGATATTTCTTGTTGCAGCCTAACAAACTGCTTTGTCACTATGATTAAGGGGACACGGTTGAAATTACAGGAGAAAATTATAAAGGTTTGGAATTGTCTAAAAGTAAACAGAATTGCAATAGATCTCTCCATAACTACCGTAGAACATCATTATGCATTTTTTTATTTAGTGTTGTCAGTTAAATTGGAATGTATTATTTGCAAGTGATCCATCTTCTTGTCACCGTTTTGTTTCTCATCAGGAGAACTGGATCCAGAAAGAATGGGCTCAGGTATTCAGTATGGAGATGCTGCCTTGAGACAGCTGAGATCACCACGTAGAGCACAAGCACAAAGTGCTCAAGAATGTGGGTGTTAAAGAAACAAAACACAAATTCCCAAATACTTACTTTAGATACAGAAGGTAAGGTTACAAAAATCTCAGGATGTTGGGTACATTACCATATTTCATAAATGTGCAGTATTGAGTGCTTGGCTTTTTCACTGTTAGCCTGTAAAGTAACATAGAATATAGTGAAATAATGGACAGTAGAATGGATCGGGTTTTTGATAGTGTGATTTTTTAATTCTACCATCTGCCCACTAAAGCAAGACTAGTGCTCTTATTGAAGTATTTATAGATACTTGCTTACTCTGAGTAATGCTGTGGAAAACATTTTAAAATTCTGTGTTCCTGAAATGCATTATAGCCCTAATAGTTACCTAATGCACTGTGGAGTAGATGAATAATTTCTATTGTGTCATGGGCACAACACTAGAAATGAGAATTCACAGAACGTATGATGCAGTATCTTGTCCAAAGCTGTTATATAGTCTTTTCTGAAAATACAAAGTTTAAAGATTGAGGCTTGAAAATTAAAGATAATACTGGATCTCAAACTTCCACTGACTTCTTTTTTTCTACCTAAAACCAGCCCGAAGCGTTTCTGATTCCTGTCTGCTATGAGCAGAAATGTTAACAAGAGAATAGTAGTATTTGCTGCTTAAGCAGTGTTGTCATCTGACGTAGCTCTTCTAGGGCTGTCATGGCCTATGGAACGGGTGTGTGGTCTTCTAAAAGTCTTCCAAAGACATTCTTCAAAGGAAGTGAGGAACAGATTTTTCCCTTTAGCAGTGGCAGGGGAAGAGACATAAAAGTCATGTAACCTACTCCCAAGAACAGCTTGGTGGTTAGTCTTTCTTATAAACAGTTAAGACACCTCTCTCTATTCATAGATTTTACTTGACTTCTTGCAGTATGTAAGTGGCTGTTTGGACAATCCTTTCTCCCTCACCTCAATGAGGGTAATTAAGGATTTGCTGTGTAGTTAATTATTCCGATGTAATTAATCCTTATTTCTCTAATACTAAGACAGGGATATCAAATTAAACAAGTACAGCAGGCATAGTTACTGCATCGTTTTTACTGTATTTATTTTTTCATGAGTTTGAGCCATGCACACCAGCAGAAGCGTTACAGAACGTTAAATAAAGCAGCATACAATTCTGTGTTCTCATATTTTGTTCTGTATTCTGGGAGCTTAGCTCCCAGTTAAAGCTCAGAATTTTGAATAATAGATAGGAATCATTGAACTGCTTTCCTCCCTTATTTTCCTCCTATCAAATATAATCCTTCAACTAAGAGACTGATGGAAAGGGGCATTAATTTAGTCCAGCTTTGGTATGACTCTACAGGAGTGAATATTTATTGATCTTACTTCAGGAGTTGAGTTTTCAGATTGATCAGATGTAGATAATTGATGGACTTCTTACGTATTTTACAGCTGTCCTTGCAAATGGTGTTTGAAGAAACAAACAAGGCTTGAAGGCTATGCAGTTTTTACAAGCATCTTTCCACTATCTACAAACAGCAGATGACTGCTGACAGAAAGGAGTACCCTGTGGTGTGGGGCAGGAATGTTCACATGACACAAAAGTCTGCAAAGCGAACTTGATAATTTGGTGGACAATATTAAGACTCATAGCTGTATGTAAACATTTTCCATTACCTATTTTTGTTCTTTCACCTTTGGTTTAAAGCATTGCTATATACTGTAAATAATGTAACAGTAAATTTACAAAGCATGGTATACTTATGTATGCTGATAGAATGTTGCACTACGAGCAGTTTAATATTTTATTTTTATATCATATAAACAGATTTAACTGAGGTAGGCTTTGTCATGTTTGTTTGTTGCACAATAGTTTATATTTATGATCTGAATTATAAAACCACTGGCACTGTCAGTGAGGGGTTGTTTTATTTTTTCCTACTTTGTTTGCCACATTCTAACAAGCTGTTGACATGACTGATTCTCAACATAAGATTAGGATCCATACTTACATTTACTAATATGTCAAGTTCGAAAAGTAATTTTTATTGATGTTCACCTATCCTATTTTATGATAGTTCTTAAATAACTCCTGAAGCTCTTTTAGCAAATTTCAGAAGTTTAGAAAAAATACTTCTAAGTCTCTCAAATGGCTGTCGACTGACTTCGATTTTGGAATTTTCTGTTTTCTTGGTCCTGATGTTTTGTATGGCACTGGCATCCTGAAGGTGGATGTGTATGTGAACAGAAGGTGCATCTTCTATGTGTTGTCATTTTAAGGCGGGGCATGGGTTTATGGAGAACTATCGCAGTAGTTCTTCTAACCTCATATCACACCAGAGCAGTCAGCTGTGGCAATACGCTTTCTGTTGAAGCATACTTGGTGAGGTACAGACTGAACCCAAATGGGTTCTTCTAAAGTATCCTGAATGTATGAAATTTAAAATACTAATTTCTTTTTCTTAAACATTCATAAATTACAATTAAGAACGTGATTTTTCAAATTAGACTTTAAAATTTGGAGCTTACAGTCTGCCTTGCTGGAGCTCTACCTTTGAACTTCATGTGAGTGGACTGTACATGCTGTCCACATTGCCCCCAGCAGACTCGAGTGTTAGAAGGAAAAAAAGAAGTAAAGTACTTAAGTAGTTCTTCCTTCCTGTGAAACTCATCAAGGGGAATTTCAGCCTTGGTATTGATTTTTTTTTCTTCTGTGTGTTAAAACACACAATTCAGACTTTCTTTCCTGCCCTCTTTTTATTGTGGGGAAGAGGCATGGGGCAAGAGATTAGGAATCCTGTCCTCATTCCTCAACTGGAGACAGAAGAGGAAGAAACTTGCAGAGGGTCCAAGAGGGAGTACTCCAAGAGGGAGTATTGCATATCATTTTTACAGTGCCCTGACAATTCCTCAGGTAAGAGACCTGTGGCTTCTGTTTTGCCAGATAAGGAGCTGCAGAATTAAGCTCATGTTTCTGCAGGTGACCTAATTCAACCAATTAAGGAGGGGCAATTTCACTTACACTAGTGACTTTTTACTTAGTTACTTGTATAACCAGAAATGGGATGTCTCCTTGGAAGTGCAAATTCACAGAAAATAATTAATTTGATCAGAACCTAGTGTTGAAATTCCAAGGTCAAATATGCTTTATTATTTTATATACATGAATCTTTTGTATTTGAGGGTCACTTGTCAAATGCATGTTTAAAAACTAAACCAGAAAACTGAACTGATGCTGTAATTCAGAGGGCAGTTAAAGCACAAGAGCAAAGCAAGGATGCTACACAGATGTACCATCTTTCATGGAATTAGAATTGTGTTTAAAGCTATTCCCTTTATCCTGACATTTTTGGTTCAAATGGATGCTTATCTGAAAATATAATCACACCTTAGCTGATCTCTGAAATAAAAGAATTTAAGTTTGCTTTGTACTTAAAAAGCCTACGTTTAGTTTTAAAAAAACTGTTGGTTCCAAAGACTTTGATGTTATAGCTCTCTCCTATGTATCTTGTTATGTTTTGGGATTTGTTATGTAACTGATAATAATTATTCCCAGGGAGTATTCTCTTCCTGGTAAGTGTGTAAAGTATTTTTGAAGCAGCTTAACTGTGCATTTACAAGAACGTCAAAGCACTCTAAAGAAACTTACCTGTCTTAATCCTCACTCAACTTATTTTGGCTTCCACTACTCAGGACTGGAAGTAATTACCAGAACAAGTCCTGGGAAGTAGATGTTGGATGTAATTGTCTCTTCCACCAGACCAAATGGTGTTTTATTAACTGAGCTATGTTGTGTTTCTGCCAGAGAGGGGGAGGGGAGGGAAGGGAGAGTGTTGGTTGCAAAACCCCAAACCAATTCTGGAACACTGGGAAAAGATGAGATTTTCAGAACTCTGTTCTCCCCCTTACTGCAATCTAATCAGGTTTCTTGGTACACTCACAAAAGTGAAAGCTGAGCACTTATTTATCAGCTGGGACATAGCACAAGTAAAGCTAAAGGTCTCTCTTCTTGTCACTGTTACAATGGTTGAAGTGGTGGTGGCTGTTGATCAAAACTTCTATTATTACAGTAGCAGCTGAAAGGAGCAGGGGACTGTCACTTGATTCCATTGCTTTTAAATAAACATTTTAGGGCTTTGGCAGGGATTTTTGTATATTCTTCCTGTCCTTTTCCCTTTACATACAAGACTGGCCCCTTTTGTATACTTGGTTCTTATGATCATTTTGGTCAAGTGTCTGTGGTTAAGAAGCAGTGAGCACAGTTTTATTCTGTCTGTAACCAACTGTCTTAAGCTGTCCCCTTTCTACCTGGAAGGAGCGAGTAGTGTCATTATAATGAGTTTTGACATGTTTTTACCATTTTTTAATGTATACTCTTACTGTATACACATTAACTAAGTTAATGTGCATGTTTTGTAGTATTGCAACCTTTTATGCTGCATATCTCACTAACATTTTAAAAAGAAACTTTCTAAAATGGCAACTCCTGAGGGAAATACTGTCAGAAGCAATAGCTCTCACTAGTGCAAGCTATATTGTTTACTATTTCTCCTCTGAGGGGTTTTTATTTCTAAAAATAAACATCATTCCAGTAACAGCCCTAGAATAGCTTTTAAGCTTTAGCATTATACTTCACACAGCAAACCAAACCTAGTTCACCTAAACAGAAAGTGATAAATAGGTTAAATTATGTACGTTTTAGTGTAAAATTCTTACTTTACCAAAGCAAGATGGCTTGGAGTTTTACATGAATACTGGGTACCTGCATCCTAGAATTTATTGGATGTGGAGCTTTAGTTGTTCAGACCGTTAAAAGATTTAAATGTCTTATTAAAGCCTATGTCTTGCCTTTTAATCAGTCTGAGGGTCTACACTATTTCATTTAATGCTTGTATCCTAGCACCAAATAAAGAACCTCTCTTGATTTTCTAGGTGTCTTGCAGCAAATTCTATTTACTTTTAGAAGTCTTGCCAGCTAAGTGAAGTGTGTAACATGATAAGTGTTAGATGGTCATGAAAAAACACTTCTATAAATTCATTGCATAGTCATTATGGGGCTAGGAAGGCAGCAGCAACTGCTGCTAAAGGAGCTGGAGTGCTTCAGTGTATGTCCCAGGAGCAGGGCCCACATTGCACTCCGGTAGCAGCTTTGCCCTTGGCATGGGAGGGCCCCAACCCCGCAGCACTGCTGCTGCCACCCCCTGTTAGAGAGGAATAATGCATCACTTCCCTTCTGTGCGTCCTTGAGAGGTTATGGCTGCAAAGGTGCACTTTCCTTGTGTCTGAGGTGGATCAATCTAGATGTCTTGGAGAATGTGGCTTCAGAAGTTTAACTTTTTTAAAGCATTAAATAAGGGGAAAATACAGAATGTATTTGCACTTATAACTTCTCTAGGCTATTAGGCAATTCACAGTCCATTCATAGCTATCCTGTGCCTCAAAAGTACATTGCTCCCATAAGTAAGTCAGTCCTTAAAAAAATTAGAGCTGTAAAAACAGCCTGATTACTCTGCATTTGCATTATATTCTATAAACTGAAAGAACTAAACACTATAAAAAAACTCAAGAAATACACTGTAAACCCACAGAGAGTACAAATACGAGGTAGCTTTGTTTCCTTCATTTACTGTAGCATTTGCAGCAGCATCCAGAACTTAAGCTATTAAAGGATGGCTACGCTGAAGTTTTCCTATTTGCAAGATTATACTTGTTCTTAGTCATAGAGCTTCCTGTTTTTTTCCCATGCTACCCTCTTTTTCCAAAGTTCTAAATTAAGATTTCCAAAGGCTTCAGCATGCATAGCACTTCAGAGAGCTATTATATTTTAGGCTGTATTTTTGTCTTGTTAGTTTTAGAAAAAGCCAGTCAGACTGGGAAAGGATATTAAGAATCTGGGGGAGAATTACAGGAGGAACACAAGAGACAAGCTGAGCTTTTAGCTGAACTTGTAATTGTAACCTACCCCAACCCTTTACCCAACACCAGTCATTACAGAAGCCCATCACTTACTTTTCAGGAGAGAGTATACAGGACAGGCAGAAGCCACAGTCTGCATGCAGAGACTAAAGCCCCCTATAATGAAAAACCTGAGACCCCCCAAAGCCACAATACAAGCAGTCAAGGTACCTTGTGTCATTCATTTTATTCACATATACAAGGTGACACTATACTATTAAATATAGACAATACAGAAGCATTAAAAACAAATACTGTTTATAAACTTTAAAAAACACATATTGCTTCAAGCTTAGATGGTACTTCCCTATAGTTTTTAAAGTGAATTCAGTGCTAACAATAGCTGAGGCAGCTTTCCATTCACTTGTACCCCTAATTTTATAGGGCCTACTGTCAAGGTGTTGAATCAGGCTCCATATATGGCTTTGCTGTTGAGTGCACTAACTGAGCTGGAAAATAAACTGGAACATCCAGGTTACCACACATAAGGCCCTCAGATTGCTAGCTTTTGGTCCCTATCACAGTAAAAAAAAAAAAAAAAGTCAGCAAGGCCTTTATAGTTCAGTGGCACTGCATTATACCATTAAAGAAAAAAAAAAAAAAGAACAGATACACTTCCCTACATGTTAAAAGTTTTATTAAAATGTGTATTTTCTACCTGGATAAAATTAATCCCCAAATTTCAAGTCTGTCCCTCGGTTTTGTTAGGTTTGGCTGTAAGTTTAGATACCACCTTGACTATCTCAGCTTCCAGTGAAAAAGTGTAATTCATAGTTGCAAAGATGTGAGAGCAGTGACTGAACAGGCATGCTACTGTATTTTACAGGGACATTCTTATGCAGTTTTCATTGTAACATTTTACATTGTAAACACTAGTCTTCACAACACTATAGTTAAATTGCAGCATTACACATTGTAAAAGTCTTGTTTCACTTAGCTAAGTACTTTCAGAAACAAAAAGGAATAAACAGTTACTTTAATGAAGACTTTGGACAACTGAGTATTTACTGTGTTCTTACAAAGTTTTACTTCTAAAACAGGAGTGAGAAGTGTTCATCATTTGGCCAATTCAAGAGTCCATGCAAGCCAAAGTTCCGAACTTCCTTAATTCATAGGGTAACATTCACTAGGTTTTCCATTTTTAGTGAGTCCAATTTGATGCAAAACAGCCACCTCCTGTAAGAATCTATGGGATATAGTTAAAGCTTTTACACTTGAAAAGTTCTGCCTTCCAAGTCAATTGGCTTTTCATTTGTTAACATCAACACACTAAAACAGCGGTTTTCCAGACTTCAGCCTGACACATGCCAAATATTTTGCACATACAACTTGCACTTATAAGAACTATACTGTTTCACATAGTCTAAGCAAACCTGCTAGCCTTTTTTTAGTCAAATCATGCCCAAATTCATGAAGGCTACCTGATTTGCAGAATAATTTACCCCTCGTTTCAGGCATACTTAGACCAAGATAGTACCAACATAGCACCCAGGATTATTTTTAGCTACAGACCATTTGAAAAAGCATGACATAACCTGATTAGTATCACTACTGTCTTCTACCAAATTGTTTTGGTGGGGAACAGCTTTTTACCAGACAAGGATAAGAACTAGATCATTTCCTCAGTACACAGCAGCCTTGATGCTGTTGAAGATTCTCATGCTCTGTAGAACACCTGAACAAGCCTGTTTGAGATGTTTTAAGTTCAGTCCCTGGTATCCAAGACAGAAGACATTTAAGCCTTCTATAGTTATTAGAAACACCATCATCTAGTGGGAGATTCATCTTACCCAAAATGGGTACTTAAGGCAGGCACATAATCATCTTGGCTCCTCCATTCAGTGGGGAGAGAACCATAGAAGCTGTCTTTGAAAGCTTGGCAAGATGAGTCCTGCCCTATACAATCAAGGAAGCTGTTTAATGTGACAAAATGCACCGAGGGCATAGTCTGGTGCAGTTACACGATGCCTGCAAAGGCAGAGGTGTATATGGTATTCCGGGCAACAGGAACAGGCAGAGTTTTTATTGAGTAAGGCTGTTAAACACTGAGTTAGTGCTTTCATACTGTTCAAAGCTAGAGCAGATTTCTGAATTGAAACAGTAGCAAAAGCAACTTAAGCACATTTACAGCAGCTATTTAAAGAGGAAAACATAGAATAAAGGAAATTGAAGGAATCTCATATAGAATAAAGGCATCCTCTGGAATAGTTTGACTCAGTTTTGGGCACTGTTCTAAAGTTTTAAATAGAAGTTCTAACCTGGGTTCACTTAAAAATTGGAATGCAATAATTTTGCTTTGTGTAAAACATACTTAATCATACTTTACATACATTCCCATTCTTAAAAGCTGTAATAACTCTAGTAGGTAGCCTGAACGAGAGTTGTCTGTATTTTTATAGCTTTTACTTAAAAGGCAGGTAAAAAACAGATTATAATTTCATGGATTCTAGGACATTTTAGCAAGATTAAAACTGAGATTAATGAAACCTTTACTGATGCAATGTAATTAACACTAGGAGGCAGCAGTGCTTGGTCCCTTCACATGATTACTTTCAGTAACACAATCAAACTTTTTACTAAGCACATAACTCCATTGCAGTAGTAATTCTTGAGTCCTGCTTACTCACTGAGATTGTGGAATGAAGCTAAAGCTAGTGCAGGTTTCTGCTGCAGAAGTGCAAGTGTGCTTCCTGTGAGAAGGTGTCCAGTCTGTAAAACACAAGCTTCAAAACAATTAAATTGAGATAACCAAGATATGTAACTAACACAGAACGCATCTGAACAAAACTTTGAAGCTCACAACTACAGCAATAATCTGTCTAAAGCTTAGTTATCAAACTGAAAAAAAATAATTTACAGCAGTTTGAGGGGGGGAAAAAAAAACAACATCACTGAGGATCTCACAAACAATGACTGTCTTACTATGTAGAAGTAGAACCTACAAAGTGAGAGTGTTCAAACTCCATTATATATTCTTGTTTACTAAAGATCACACAGACCTCTCCTTCCTTCCCTAGCCCTCACCCCACTATAGTGAGGGGTCCTGCACCAATTTCGAGAGGCAGAAAGCTTCTCGGGACTTCATCTACAAGTTGTATCAACATGATTTTCAAGTTTAAAAACTTTAACAGTATACTTGTACGATACCACTAAATGGAATGCATATTGCACTCTGACCCCCACTGAGTGTAATAGATATTCTTAAGTGTTAAAAATAGACTTCACTAGACAGGAGCCAGCCCTCTCCTTCAATAAACTGGCATTTACACGATTAAGCATAGAGTAAGTGTGACCACAAGCTTAATACAGTGGTACAACTTGATACCGGTAGAACAAGCAACTGCTTATTGAGCAGCAGCTATCAGATGATTGTCTACATCAGTTATTTGGTACAACAGGCACAGCAACAGCAAAACAATCCTGTAGCTGTTTCTTGCCCTGAAAATTTGTAGTTTATTCTAATGACCTTAGAAACAGCAATAAAAGTTAGTATCAGCAGATTCACTAATCAAACAAGGTTTTTTGAAAGTTTCTATATACAAACAATGCTTGGTATTTGTCTGCCTAAAGCATCTACATTTATTAGTGCTGTTTACCAGACCCACTGGCTTTCCTGTTGCCTGTCTTAATATACTTATTTTGGTAGAAGTATTAAATCAATTAGTAATATAAATGCAAAGGCACCTCCATCACACCTTTCAAGTCTTTCCCCAACACCACCTCCCCATGACTTGGACTTTTAAAATAAGGGACAACAGATATTATCTGTAACCAAGAACAAAAAAGTGTTTGATTCCCTGTATGCTAAGGTTCCCCCCTCCCACCCCAAAATAAGTCAACCGAAGCATTAGAAAGATTCCCAAAAGAGGAATTGTTTAAAAGTTTGGGTAGCTATATCTAAAAGCCTCTTTAAATGTTATGGCTCCAACAATACACCCCACTGTGAGGTAGGTAGCCAAGATAAAAATATTGTAACAAATATTTTAACAGCTGGAAACTCCCTATAAAAACCTTGCATAAGTAGTTTGGTTCCTTGCACCAGTGTCCTGATATGCGTAACTTCTTTTGAAGATGCCTAAGGGAATCCAAATTCACCGAGCTCTCGCTGAGTAGCATCTCATATACTCTGTCATCCAAGGGTTATCTGGTGGGGAGGGCTTTATTCGCCAGGCTTTCTCCACTTCTGCTGATCGCACTCGTCTCTGAGAAAGCTTCCTTTTCTCCACTTGTCTCCTGTTCTTTGCTCGTAGAGCAGATTCATGAATCTAAAAGACCAAAGTTAGTATTACAGCAGGAAAACAGCCTAGGAACGCCCCCAAGAAAACTGAGGATCCCTTTGTATTTGCCCCAGTCCCCATCCTGAAGAAACAGCAAGATTCTGTTCTCTTCTGTAATTTGTACCACTAACAAGAGAAACATGGAAATTCTTTTTTCTATAAAATGCCTCAAATTCTACTCTCCATTATCTTTCCCACTTCACACTATTAAACAATGTTTCTCATTCTTATTCTGACATATTCTAAAAACCTCAATTCTTCTATTTCTACCATTTTAAATTCTTAAACATCCCTCAGTATGCTCAAGCATCCCTTAAGACCTAAGCCATAGTAGCAAGACCAATCCCTAGCGACTTCTTACTAGAGACTGAAGAAGTTAATTTTGACAGCATGCTGCAGGCAAATGTACATATATTTTTATGTTAATAAATTATCATATTTTCCCCAAATTTAAGATTAAGAGCTATCTTCTATGTTTGCTTGCTTCTATCTCCCAACTTAAAACTGTCTATCTCAATTAGGGGAAAATAACAGCTTTCAACCATTCAAGAAAAGTGACCTAGCCAGGCAGTAAGTAGTCAGTTCCCACTTAAAGATCCTTAGTGACAACACCACACAATTGGAAGTGTTTCAGAAGTGTCCTGCCCACTCACTCCAAACTCAGGACCTGATCTTAGGGGTTCTGTAACTGTTTCGAGCATAAGAAGCATTAGGAGTCTTAGAAAGTATAAATATCTCTGCTCGAGTCAGGCATCAGCCTGTTAGGCTTCAATATAAAGTAACAGTCACCTATGTCCACAACCGACAGAAGTGTATCAATCCAGTAACAGTATCCATCATCAGGAAGAGCAGCTTCTTTTAAGAGCTGCAAGTTCCTCATTCCCCTCAAAGGGTTGAGCTGTTCAAGAAGTAAGAGACTATGCTTCAAACCCCTTTCAAAACAGTTCATCAGAAAGCAACTTTATCATACACATCAAGAACACCACACCCACCTTAATCCTCAGATATCCTGGGACATAGATTCAGACTCTACATTAGTAGTAAGATAAAGACAAGACACTGGCGGGAATACATTAATGATTATGTTTTACCAGCCTAGGAGAGTTATAGAAAAGAAAGATCTGAGAAGATCTGTTGTAACACTCCAGCCTTAGTGTTCCTTGCTAAGCCAGGAAATAGACCCCACTACAGCAGAATCCTGGTGCTGTCCATGACCATATGAATTTTATCTGTGATATTTTGCTAATATTTACATCAATTCTGCAAGCCATCAGCCATCCGATAGACCATTCTGCTGGCAGCAAGAAGTTCCCTGTCGGCAACCCACTGAAAGAGGCTGCTAGACAGACAATTCAGCAGCAAAGCATTCGTACCTTCTCAGCGAGGCTCCTATTCCTAGGAAGTGCCCCAGCAAAACTCACTCTTTCACAGCACAAGCTCTACCCCAGTGCTTATATAGCTGACTGCTGTGTGATGCCTGGTGCTAACTGCCTGCTGCTTTTCTCTTGTTTTCATGAAGTTCAGAATGCAGAAATATATTTATAACAGCCCGTTTTGCTAGTAGCACTGTAACAGCCAGAAACAAGATAGCCCAGTTTTAATCAGAACTTGAAAGTATTAGTCAAACATGGGAAGCTTAAAAACCAATTAACAGTTAAGAGCTATTTGATTTGGACATGTCAAACCTCTTCAGGTTTATTGCTAGAATAATTTTTTTTCCAGAATTTATTGCTAGACTCTCCATAATACTCAAATAAAGGCATCCCTGAGAAGTTTTACCTAGATATTAGACATGTCTTAGCCGTGCATTAGGTAGTCACTGCCCTTTAACAAAACAGAAGCTTTTACTTACTGCATTCGCTGAAGCAGAAGCACAGACGTTGTGAGTTTTCTGGCTTCCAGTATCTGTCTGTCTTTCTCCCCACCCATACAGAGCAAATGGATGTTTATTCTCCTTTGGTGCATCTGTCTTCTGAGGACTTTTGGCTGATCTTCGATCATTACGACTGGACAAGGCACTTCGACTCGGACGTCGTCCTGTACAGCTGGTTTTGTCTGCTTCTTTTATAGAAGTGTGTTCTACAGTTTTTTCTTTCTCTTCCCTCTGTTGCTTTGCTTGCTCTTTCTTCTGCTGCTTTTCTTGATCTTCCCTCTGCTGCTTTTCTTGATCTTCTTTTTCTTTCTCTAAAGAAAAATAAGTTATGCTTTAAGATCCCAATGATGATACATTCATGTCTGATTTGCACAGCCTCTCTTAATACATCATTAAAGCTGTGCTTTTTTTAGAAATGGAAAAAGTCAGTACTACCTTAGCAACAGATGTATACCTTGCTTAAATGCCTTCATTCTTTCTTTAGTGACTACAATATTTCCCAGCCCACCCCTCTGTACATCAGCTTTCACATACGTAAACATGCCTTTCACTAGTGAGGCTACAGATAACCAATAGCTCCAGGCAGTATCTTGAAGACTGTTTCCAGTGATCTTGTGTCTTCGCCATGTCATCCTTCCATCTTTCAGACAGCAAACAGATGGACTGCTGAGTGCCATGTAGATGCTGCCAGCCAGTCAGAGATGAAGTCTGATACGAGTATGTGCAATATTAAATTCCTCATATTATAACCTTCCACTCACTGAAAGAAAAAAGTGATTAGTTTTCAAGCTCCCTGATTATACATACAACTTGATTATGGTTTTCTGTTAATGGAAGAGAAGGGACTATGAAGCAAAGACTTAGAAAGTGATAGTCATCACCCTTACTATCTGCTCTGTGAAGTGTGTTTCACATTTAAAGTACCACACTCTACAGGCAATACCCTCCAAGGCCTGTTTCCCCCCACACACATGCTTTTTAAACCTTTCCTAACAAGGGTCCAGCATTTGTTCTCCAGGCATTGGGTATGCAGAGTAGGGTTTCTAAGGGAGAATTTAGAGTCTGTATCATTGTTAATTTGCAGGTGTAGATTAACACCAAAGGCTGAATCAGCATTATGTAAGATATTAAATAATAAAAACACAGGGACATGACTGTTCCATAAGATCTAATCTTCTTGCGTTACAGAACTGTGGAGGAACTAGTTTTCCTTTGTTTATGGTGCCTGACAGCTACCAGTTCTTGACATTTCCTCAATACTACTTCTTAAATACAAAAATTTGGGTCTTAGACTTTAGATGAAGGAAGCCAGTATCTGGTATAGCACTGCAATACTTCATAAATCTACTAGAAAGGCTGCTAAGAAAGTCATGCCTTACAATAAGGTTAAGTTGTTTTGAACAGGTCCGTTTTAGAACCTCATTAAATATAGTCAAGTGAATGCCCATGGATAACAATTACTGACTGGAAAAGAATGGCTGAGGATTTTTTCCACCTTTGAGATCTGTAAGGTGTTAAAAACCGATGGCAAGAGGTCTTGAACTACTCTGTTAATACTAATATAATCTAATCTATATCTTTATCAATGATCTGGACACCAAGTTGGGCAGGAGTGTTGATCTGCTTGAGGAAGGCTCTACAGAGGGATCTGGACAGGCCAAGGCCAACGGCATGAGGTTCAACAAGGCCAAGTGCCAGGTCCTGCACTTGGGTCACAATAACCCCATGCAGCACTACAGGCATGGGGTTACTACACTTGGGGAAGAGTGGCTGGAAAGCTGTCCAGCAGAAGAGGACCTGGGGGTGTTAGTCAACAGCTGGCTGAATATGAGCCATCAGTGTGCCCAGGTGGCCAAGAAGGCCAACAGCATCCTGGCCTGTGTCAGAAAGTGTGGCCAGCAGGATGAGGGAAGTGATCATCCCCCTGTACTCAGCACTGATAAGGCTGCACCTCAAATACTGTGTTCAGTTTTAGGCCCCTCACTACAAGCAAGACACTGATGCACTGGAGCATGTCCAAAGAAGAGCAACAAAACTGGTGAAGGGCCCAGAGCACAAATCTTATGAGGAGCAGCTGAGGGAACTGAGGTTGTTCAGTATGGAGAAAAGGAGGATGAGGGGAGACCTTATCTCCCTCTACAACTACCTGAAACGAGGTTGTAGCAACATGGGCATAGGTCTCTTCTCCCAAATAAGAAGCAATAGGACAAGGGGAAATGGCCTCAGGTTGCACCAGGGAAGGTTTATATTGGGTATTAGGAAACATTTATTCATCAAAAGGGTTATCAAACATTGGAATAGGCTGCCCAGGGAAGTGGAGGAATGGCCATCCCTGGAGGCATTTAAAAGACACATAGATGTGGTGCTTAGGGACATGGTTTAGTGGTGGCCTTGGCAGTGTTAGGTTGATGGTTGGACTCAATCTTAAAGGTCTTCTCCAACCTAAATGATTCTATAATGATTCTAATCAAATATACTGCTTGCAGTACGTTAGTAAAATATGACTTTGGAAAATAGTAAATACATAGAACCCTGATTTAGCTCTCCATCCTGCAAGTCTTAAACAGTAGTGTGGACAAGTTGGAGTTGTATGCTAGACATAGAACATGACCCCTAAGCATTGTGGGCACAAGCAGACATTGTGATCTGAAGTCTCTGTGACTTTTAGGCCAATTATGCCTTTTATGTAACAGGCAACTAAAACCTTTTATTAACCTAACAGCATAGCAGTCCACAAGTAAGTGATTCCCTTCAAGTGTCCACCTTTGAGCACTAGATGCCACACACAGCGATACACTCAAACTCTGCTGACACGAACATGCTGAACTTGCAAGTTTTCTGCCACACCCTCTATTTCTGGTTGTGGTAGGGACCAGCTGCAAGCTACCTCTGTTCCAAGTCTCACTGCTTTCAGCTACCACCAGCATACACTGGTATGTATGGAGGGAATTCCTCCACTGGCACAGGAGTTCATCTAGTTTAAGGCTTGCATACATATTGAGAGGTTGACCACAAACAATGAGAAAAATTTTTTACCTAGGTGTCTTCATTAAAAGCAAAAGGCCTTGCCAATCCTGTGACACAATAGCAATTGTTCTTGCTAATTGATATGATTTAGCTAGTCAAGCAAGTACATGCCCAATCTGACACTGCTTTAATTTTGCTTCTGCATCCATCCAGCTCTGATGAAATGGAAGTTTACCTGCCTGGCACGCTGGTTAAGCATCCATTTACTCTTGCACTCACTTTGCACTTGTAAAGACGTGAAGACTTGCCACATGCTCCAGCATTCCCATAAGGTGAGCCTCATGCTCTCTTGCTAGCTGTTAGGCTTGCCAGCATGTTTTCTACTTGCCGCCAACCAGCACAGACGCCCTGGTGCTGGGCCCTGTTCAGGCTGGCCCACACACACATCTTCCAAGTTGTGCAGGTGCAGCATTCAGCTACAGATGATAGTGCAGCACAGCTGAGTATTTGGTAAAGACTAGCCAGAAGTATTAGAGTATTTGAAGCTGTATTTGTTAAGTAGCTTGAGTGTCCCCATAAAACAACCAAGAAGAGCAGTCAAGGCCAAAGGAGTGACAGAGTGGAAAAACAGAAAATGGACAGACAAATTTTACATATCTAAATATTGGGTGCACAAAGTTTCAGGCATTATAGCCAAGGCTGGATAAAAAGCAAGCACCAGTGACCTCAATGTGGTAAAAGACCTGCTTTGCATAGAGTCCTGGGCTCTGGGACACACAGTTCCACATCTAACAAGGCAGCTCATTCATCACAGCTGCAACAGGCAGCACAGAGCTATCCCCTTGCAAAGTATTATTCATGCATATCTCTACACAACCTGCTCCCAAGAAGGGACTGGCTAGGTCCCCTTCTGCATAAGCGAGGCCATTATCAGAACGAAGCCCTGTTCTGAGAAAATGAAACACTGAAGGGGGACATACCGCGGTCAATCCTGAAACAGGAATGCTTTTAGTCTGGGAAGCTGTTCCATCCTCTGTTCAGGGAAAATGGCATATTCCTTCTGTACAAAGGAGAAGGCAGCAATGGGAACTTCATGAGCAGCAGAGGCAGCATTTAGAGACTTTAAAATACAGGAAAATGGTGAGTCTGCAATTGCATGGATACTCTAGCTTTAAGATACGACTTCAAGGTAACAGCCATGCTTGGGGACACTGCTCACTAGGATATAGTCCCAGCTGGTGCAGAAATGATTGAGCCAGCTTGTCCCAAAATAGCAATAAAAGCATATGGGTAAATGGCAGAGTCCTGCACACAGTCTTACAGTAAATGCTGTATGCCAGAACACACTACAGCACCCTATGAGCACCTGCTGTTAGAGCAGGTATTTCAGGGAATTCACTCCTGCAGTGCATTTAGACAGAACTCCGTTGGTGAGTGCACAAGGTAGGTATCTTTTAAATAAAAGATTTAAATAACTGTTAAACTACAGTTTGTATCCAACCCATTTTGTTAGGCACCCCCTTTCACAGGAGGGTAGAAAAGCAGCAGTTGATAGCAAGGAAGGAGTTAGGCCCAGCTGCTCAGGGAGTCCAACCACTAGCAATACCTACCCATCTCCTTCTCTCCTTCCCGCGCAGTGTGCCAGCTCCAGCTGCCACAGGAAACTCAGAACTGACTGGCTGCAGCATGACAGGGATTAGACAGGAGAGGGGAAAAAGCTAGGAACATTGAAAACTGCATCGTGGATGCTAAGCAGAGCACACTGAACAGGAGGGGATTAAGTGCTTAGCAGGCAGAAGGAGGCTGCCAGGCCCACCCAATATGGCTGTTGAAAGCTCCTGCCCAGAAGAGGTCACTTGACCAGTGTAAATAACAGCTCCCCTCCAGCACTCAAAGCAGGAAAAGCTCAAGTGGAGCTCCTCTCCCTCCCACAGTACTGCATGCTCTCCAGGGCAGACCAGACTCCCATTTCAAAAGCTCTGCTGACTAACTAGAAGTACCAACACCCTTCCAATCAGACCCACAGGTGCTAGGGGTCAACAGTATTATCTCTATATAGAGATGTTTGCTCCTTACCGCACTGCCTCAGGGTCAGGGGAATCACTTTGTGCTTAAAACTGCCACGGGCAGAACTCAGTGTCCTGCTTTAGTACAAACACCTCTCCAAACAGGGCAGGTCTCCACAGCCTCTTGAAGGAAATATATACCCAGTTGTGGGTATGAACTGACTACAGCTGGGTAGAAGGTGGTTACTGCTGCTGAAACAGATTGCAACATCATTGGTTCAAGACAGATCTTGTATGAGG